TGCACTTCGGCCCTGTGGCCGAAAACTGGATGGCTCTAAGGCGCTCCAAACACGTGTTTGACAAACCCTCGATGCATGGGGCAGAAGCTCCAACGGGCAACAGACCGCACGTGACAATCTTACGGGCCCCCTGGTCCGCTACACGATCAACTTGCTTCGAACGAACAGCCGTCTGTTTTATGTTATGAATCCTCTTGGCCCTCTTGGTGTCTCTGGAAACACTAACCGATTTCCCTGCTCTGAAATCTGACCCCAAATTTGTTATAAATTGATGCCGTTTCCCCGCCCAAGCTTCTGAATATATTTAGATGTTCCTGCCGCGCGCTGCCGATGTAGCGGCAAGTGAGCACTTGTCAACCGACAAGGTGGCGTCCAGCTCATCGTTGCGCATTGTGCGAGCTGCTTGGCGGCTTGCACTATCCACTTAAACACATCGGTGCTCAGGCAGAACGCGGTGCGCGAGAAGTCATCGAGGTAGAAATCGAAGAAGATGGTGAAGTTGAGAGAGTTAATTCCGAGGAGTCCGCCGACCCCTTGTGGGTCTCTAGGCGCGTGAGATAGTTCCCCCCCCTAACCCCCCCTGGGGCACCAAACAGGGATTCGAACCCCCCCCCCCCCCCCCCCGGGCCCGCGACGAGCGCATCACGGGGCTCTTTTGGGCCCAAAAGGGGCCCCAGACGGGCCAAGAAGGCTCCAAGACGTCTCCAAGACGGCCCGCGAGGGCACCGAGACGCCAAACGAGCGCTCCAAGACGCGCAAGATGGCCCCAAGACGAGACAAGAGGCCTCCAATACGGCCCAAGAGGCCTCCAATAACAGTCCTCAGAAGTGCCGAAGAGCCGAACATCATGAAATTCCAATGGGAAAATGTTTATTTTCATCATATACGACTTGTCGGCCATTACGGCGTTGAAGACGGTCCAAGAGCACCCCAAGACCGCCCCAAGACGGCCCAAGAGGCCCCCACGAGGCGCCCAAGTCGGCCCAAGAGGGCGCCAAGACGGCCCATGAGGCCCCCAAGACGGTCCAAGAGGGCCCCAAGACGGCCCCAAGAGGGGCCCAAGAGGGGGAGCTTGAACCGACAATCCGAGCCTTCCGCCCCAAGACGGCCCCAGAAGGCCCCAAGCGGCCCCGAGAGGTCCCCAAGAAGCACCAAAAGGTTCCCAAGAGGGCCTCGAACGGCCCCAAAACGGCTCTTCGGCCCCCCTTCTCCCTTTGCCGGCGCCATAACGGAATGAATCTGCCGCGGCTTACCCAGAATTCATGGCAACCAGTGCCGCTGAAAAAAGGGGTCGGCGGATGTGGCGTAAGCCTGTAAAATCTTTGGACACGCTGGATCTTGACATGTAGTATGGCGAAAGAGCGTGCCGCCACAATGCCCTTGAACGCGTGCAGAGCTTTAGAACTTGCTCTCCTGTATCCTACAAGCTTCGCATATCCATGCGCGGCGTGATGGAACTGCATCGGCGTGGAATACATCCAAGTCCTAAGCCCCTAGCGTGCAACCTGGCTCGCACGAAGCGCTCGTAGAACGCAACCAGGTCCCAACAAAGGCCCGCTGAGGCCTCGCCAGGGGCCCGAGAAGCTTCACTTCTAACACTCTGCCTCCAGACAGCGTCTATCGGGGGCGTTCCAGGTCCTCAGCTGAACCAGGGGTGGTCAAATTTGCCCACCCAAAATCGGGCATGAAATATTCTGATCTTCTCAGATACCATATAACACATGCTGAACATTCCCATCGTACGATGCCCTTTGGAGGCCCTGGGGGCAGCGCCGTAAGCACCCGCTGAAATTGAGGGGGGAGCTCGCCGAGACAATCCTGACATCCCAAGAAGATATATACACTCTTGAACTCCCTGGTCGGTCAGGCACGATAAATGGCGGCAGTGGAATCCATCGACATTGAGAGCTGATCTGGCGGAGTAAGCCTTGCCAATGTCCTGCGCCGCGGCGACGGGGGGCAGCGGAAGCGCAGGCTGTGCGCTTGGCGTGCGATGATGAGGCTCTGGCGTGGCCTCCCAGAACTTGCCATAGTTACAGGTGTACTCATCGATCAAGGCCTGAACGCTGTTTGACCTCGCCCCTTCAAAAACGAATGCCTCAGGTCCCCATTGAACTTGCTCCTTGCAAAACCGATGTGCTGGGCCAAGTTCTTCTTGAAGTGCCTTCGTGGCCCGATCCTGCCAGCCCTCTTTGTGCTTTGTGGGGATCCGCAAGAACTGCTCTCGCGTGGCCTACCACCGAGTCAAGTTATTGCTGGGGCTCAAAGCACATGGCGTTCCGATTCCCAGGATCGGGCCCCGATTTGCTATGCAGAAACATGTGCTCGCGCACGAGGGCCGCCCTGCGGCGACCGCGCCGGGGGCCGGCGTCCTGCCGCCAGCCGCAAGCCTGCGGGTCACCCCCGCAGGGGCCGGCCCAGCGGGCGGGGCGGTGCCAGCAACGGGCGGCCTACGGCGCCCCCGCGGGGGCCGCCGCGGCGCGCCCGAGCGGCGCTCGAGACTGCCAGCTGCCACGGCACGTGGCTGAGAAAAATGGGATACACTTCGCGATTCCGAAGTGCGGTCATCTTTGCGCAAGGCTTGACTATCTTCACGCTCCTACATGTCCCAGTCCGCGCCTCCAGGGTGCGGCGCGGCCCGCCTTCCGCGCCCCTCGCTCCGGCTGCGGCCGGGCCGCGCGGCGGCGACATGGGGCCGCAGCCGCGGGGGCGGCTGGCCCCATCCGCTGCTGCGGGGGCGGACGCGCGGCCGCGCAGTGGGGCGCTGCACCTCCGCTGCCGCCTCCTCCTCCTCCTCCTCCGCCTCCTCCTCTGCCTGCGTGGGGTGCTGCTCCCCCTCGGCCCGCGCGGGGTGCGGCGCTGGCGTCGGCGCCGCCTCCTCCTCCACCTCCGCTGCCTCCACCTCCTCCTCCTCCTCCTCCTCCGCCGCCGCCGCTCCCTGCGCCGCTCCCTCCGCCGCCCGCCGCGGCCTCGCCGCCGCCCCCCACGCCGCCGCCGCCGCCGCCGCCCTTGCCGCGCCTCCTGCCTCCTCCCCCGCCGCGGCCGCCGCCGCCCTTCCCGCCGCGACCGCCGCCGCCGCCCATGCCGATGCCCATGCCCATGCTCCCGCCCGTGTTCCCGTTGGCGTTCTTGCCTCCCTTGCCGCTCCCGCCGCCGCCCTTGCACTTGCCGAGCTCGGAGCGGATCTCCAGGGGCAGGGGGTCGTCCCGGGAGCGCTGAGCCATGGAGCTGATGGAGTCGAAGCTGCCGCGCAGCCCCTGGGCGACCCTGCGCAGCGAGGCCACGTGCTCCGAGGGGGCGCCGGCGCACAGCACCAGCTGCCACGCCCAAGGGGTGCCCTCGCGAGGCCCCCGGTGTTTGGCCTGCGGCCGGAACACCGAGCGGTCGAGCGCCTCGCCGTCCAGGCCGCGCAGCAGGTCCAGGGCGGCCCGGCGGGGGCTCTCCGCTGGCAGCTGGGAGGCCATGTGGTCGAAGAAGAGGGCGTGCAGCACCGACCTCTGGGGGCCCATCGGATGAGGGCCAGGAGCAGCATCAGCGTCGCCATCCTGCTGCCCCCTCCACGGGTCGGCCGCTCTCCAGGCGCCCCGGACTCGCGCGGTCTCCTGCTTGCTCGGCCCATAGCACGAAGAGCCACGAGGCCCTGTCATCGTGGAGCTGCACCTGTCGGTCGAGGGCAACCGCGAGGGCGGCGGTCGTGTGCGGCAGCCTCCTGTCGTTCTCAGCCAGGCGGCCCCCCGCCGGGGGCGGGCCGCCGGCGGCCGCCGGGAGGGCGCCGGCCGCCGCAGGGGCAGAGGCGGGGGCGGCTGCGCTCGCGGCGGCGGCGCGCGCAGCAGCGAGGCCCTGCGTGGCGCGGCCCCGCCCGGGGGATGGTCAGGGGCCAGGGGCCCGCGCTCGCTGGGGGCGTTTGAGCCCGGCAGCGAGGCGGCGACGCGCACATTCCATCTTGTGGCCCCGCGCTGCGATCTCACTCTTCCACGCGTGACCGCAGGAGGGGCAGAGTTCGGTCCATTCTGGCTCGGGCTGTCCGCGTCTCGAGAGCACACAGTACAACCGCGCGCGGAAAAGGGGCTGCCTTGCACCGCCCCGGGGGCTCGGAGTGCCCCTGGCTGCAGTAATGGCAGAAGGGGCGGGCGGAGAAGCAGCCAGCGGCCTCGCCCGCCGCAGCTGCTGCAATGGCCCCGTCAGCATCGACCACCGGCTCGCGAGGGCCGTCTCGCAATAGCTGGGCCCGGGCGGCCCTCTCCTAGGCGGTGCATGCTCGCTCCCGCGCGTGGGGGGCGACGCGGGGGGCGGCCGGCGCCGCGGGGGGAGGGGGCGGCGGGGGCGGGGGAGGCGCCCCAGCCGCAGCGGGAGGAGCCGCCGACGCGGGCCGCCGGAGGGCGCCCGACGAGGGAGCAGCTGCAGCGGGCCGCCGGAGGACGGGCGGGGAAGACGCGGCGGCTGGCCGACGCAGAATCACGCCCGCGGCAGCTGGCCGCTTGCCGACGATTCGGACACGGATCGTTGCTCCAGCTCCCTCGCCCTCGTCCTCCTCCTCCTCCTCCTCCTCCTCCTCGGCCACCCCCTGCCTGGCAGGCGGCGGGGGTCCAGCTGTGGCGGCCGCCAGTGCCCGGGCCTTCGCGGCTGCCGCCTCCCGACAAGCAGGGCGCCACTGGTGGTCGGATATGCAGGGCGCGGTCTTGCCGCACCTGTCGCAGAGCGTGCGCCGCGGCGGGGCCTTGGCCGGGCCACCGTCGCAGTGCCGAGCGTGGTGGCGGAAGCCCTGCTTCGGGAACCAGCGTTGGCACTTGGGGCGCTGCAGCGTGCCGTCCTCGGGGTGCACTGGCGCCGCCGCCTGGGGCTGCCGCGCCGCCTCGGCCTCCGCGGGGTGTCGCAGGGCCCAGGAGTCTCGGAGAGCGCGTTCCTCGGCGGTCTTCGCGGCCTCCCGGACAGCTGCCTGCCAGACCGCCCGGTCCGCGGCCGTGGCCATCCAGCGCTGCGGCCACTCTGCCTCAGGCACGTCAGTGGCACATGACCTCTCTGATGCGGGCCCAGTACTGCGCGCGCAGCCGCGGACGATTGCCCTCCCCACGGCCCGTTGTCAAGTCCGAGACACCTGGGATCCAGGCGCCGAGGATGTAGCGCTCGACCCGCTCCGGCGGGTATCGGGCGACGTGTCCCAAGTGCTGATACTGGCGTCGCTTCACCTGCACCTCGATCGACTGGATGCCAGCTTCCCTGCGCAGGTCGGTACCCGTCTTGAGGCCCTTCATGGAGCGGAGACGGCACGCTGTGAGCCCCCGCACCATTCTGTCGACGAGCCGCTGGTACCGCGCGATGGTGGTCGAGTGTAAGGCTCTCACCTCTGCGCCGTAGAGGAGGCTGGATATGACAGCTGCCTGCGCGATGGAGCCCCGCTGCCGCACAGTCAGCCCGAGCCTGGGCATCTGCCCCCAGAGGGCCCGCCAAGCCTTCCGAGCAGCCTCCAAGCGGTGGTTGTCGTGAGAAACGTACGAGCCATCTGCGTCGAACCAAGCGCCTAGCAGCTTCACGGCGGGCTGCCGGGCGGGCTCGGCGTCCGTGGCCGGAGCCGCTCCGCGCGGGAGGTAGCGCTCGGTCTTGCCCGGGTGGATCAGGGAACCGAACGCACGCAGGCCGTCGCTGACAACCTGCTCTGTGGCGGCACAGTGGCGCTTCTCCTGCAGCGCAGTCGTGTCGTCGACGAAGCAGAGCGTGTCCAGCACCAGGGTCTGCTTCGTCTCCGCTGCGGGCGCCGCCCTCGGGAGGGGCCGCTCTGGGTCGTAAGTGACCAGAGTCTTGGGCAGCTTCGGCAGAATCGCGGCCATTACCACTGCGTGGTACAGTGTGAAGAGCAAGCCAGAGGTAGGGCATCCCTCCCGCACGCCTCTCCTGAGGCAGTAGGGGTCGGAGTCGCCCGCAGCCGTCCGCACGACGTAGAAGGTGACGTCGCGCAGGCCGATCACCAGGTCCACGAGGGTTGCGGGGAGGGCCAGCCGTAGAAGGACAGCGCGTAGTAGTGGGCGAGGAACAGAAGGAAACGCCTTCATGATGTCGAACAAAATCAAGCAGAGCGTGTCCTCGCCAGGCGCCCGGGGCAGTCTGGTCACCTCCTCCATTGTCGCCCTCGCCGCCGGAATGGCGTCGCGGGTGGACCGATACTTTCGGTTCCCCCACGGGTGTTGGAGTGGGCCCCAGCCTCCTCTGCCCATCGGGCCAGGCGGGTGGCCACCGTCTTGGCCAGAATCCTCGACAGCACCGACGGGAGGCGTATGCCTCTGTTCAGATCCGTCCGCAGCCCCTTCTTCTTGAACAGCAATATCTGCAACCCCCGAAAGGGCGTCTCGCCGAATTGGCCCCTCCAGGCGGTTGGCGGGGCAACCCACATCTGCTGCGCCAGGCGGATAACCTGCTCCTGGACCCTGGTGCTGGCGGCCCGGATCATGCCGATGCTGACCTCGTCGTCTCCAGGGGCAGAATCCCGCATCGCACGAATGGCAGCGCGTGCCTCGTCGGCCGAGGGGGGCTCCGCAAGGTCGGACATGCCCGGCGGGAAGGCGTCGCGCCAGACGTGCGGCGGGACCGTGTCCAGCACAGCAGCGTCCACCGCCGGAGCAGCCTCGTCCAGCTTCAGGAGGTGGTCGCGAGCATCCTTCGGAGTGAACGGCAGGGCCTCCGTGGGGGCGAGATCACTCAGCCACGCGCCGAGGCGGCGAAGGCCTCGGTATAGTGCTCCTGTGTCGTTGTCGGCCGCTGCTCGGGCCAGGTCAGCCGCCGCTTCCTTGGCGAGTCGTGCCCGGGCCTGTCGGTGCTCAAGCCGATGCCGCCTGCGAGTCTCACGGTGAGCGGCCGCTGCGGCCTCCTCGCCAGGCGCGCCCCGGGCGCGACGCGCGGCGTCCCGGGCCAGCCGCCGCGCAGTGGCATTCTGACGACCAATCGTGCGCAGCTGGGCGACGAATGGGCATTCAATCTTGACGCCCGCGGAGCGGCCGACGACGCCCATGCGCGGCAGAGGCCCTGAGCACCGCAGCAAGGTCGTCCCAGGCCATCTCCTCCTCTGGCGCGCCACGAGCGTCCAGTGCCGCGTCGGCCGCCGCGGAGTACTGCTCCCTCAACGCGGTGGCTGCGGCGGAAGGGCCCTGCGTCCACTCGCGTCGGATGGAGCCCACGTGCCGAGCTCCGTCGCCGAAGCCAGACTGGACAGTGCCCGGGGGGCCTCTTGCCATGCGGCGCTCCTTGGCCCCCGGCGCCGCCGGCAGCTGAAGGCGGGCCCTCTTGAAGAAGTGGTCCCCGAACGGCAGGGCCCCTGTCCGCAGTTGGCACCAGAGGCCGGCCAAGCACGGCATGTCCGTGGCGAAGTAGTCGTGCTCCCGCCAGCGGTTCGCGGCCGTCGTCTGCTGAGGGAAGCGGAACGTCGCGCGGTGCCTGGTAGCCAGATGCGAGTCCAGGTGGCTCAGGCTACTGTCGTTCAGGCACCCCAGGACGTCCTGAGCGTGCGACGACGTGCTCCCGGGCAGCAGATGAATCCCACAGCCAAGCCGTGCAGCCATATAAGCATGAATGGAAGCATTCCAGTCGCCCCCCGCAATGCGAGCCGTCCCCGCGGGGATTGCCGCAAGAAGGGTTGTCAGCTCGTCGCGGAGCGCCTCTCGTTCGGATGTTGGCCGCTCGGCGCGCGGAGTGTACGCAGAAACAAAAGCATACTTCCGACCACCAATGGCGATGTGCAATGCGACAGCCCTGCCTGGCGGCGAAAATGTGGGCGCCACGTACTGGTGTCCCACCACAGCTTGGCGACGGCGGGGCTGAGCATGATGGCAGCGCTCCGAGCGATCGCGACAGTGTATTCCTCCACGCGGACAATGCAATCGCAACTGTCATCTGGAGCATGCATCTCTGATAACAGCGTGATGTCCCAATCCCCCGCCCGGGCCTCATCGACGATGCCGGCCCACTTCAGGCGAGAATCGGCTCTGACATGACTCATGCCTTGCACAGTTGCGGTAACAATATTGACCACTCCCAAATTCTCAACACAACGTGTGTGACATGCACGATGCAGTCTGCGTGTGGTGGGCCCTTGGGCCGGCACCGACCGGGCGGCTGACCCGCTGGACTGCTGGTCCCCTCGTGGCTTGCTGCTCGCTGCCCCCGATAACACATGTCGCCCCGAGTGTTTCTGGATCTGCGAGCCACTCCGGACGTGCCGCCACAATACACGCCGCAGAGCCTCATGCATCCGATACCCCATTGCTGACTCTTGGCCGGGCCCCGCCGCCGAGATCCCACGCACCCCAGGCAGGAAGGTGCAGCGCCCGTTTCCCTGGCACCCGAAGCCATCGCGGCCTCTCCGCGCCCGCGGGCGCCGGAGCGGCGCTCAGGCTAGGAGGAGGTCAGCGCCTGCCAGCTATGCAGAACCATGCAAACGTGCCGAGCGAGGTCCCGAATGGTCCGGAAGCTTTTGCAGGTACTTGCATGCTCAAATGCATGATGCGGTTTGGCGGTAGCAAACTTACTGCATAATTGATCAAGATCTCGGGCTTGGTCCGCAAGCTTGCCCGGCAAAACCGGCCGAGCTCAGCAACTGGGTCATTCGCCTGATGCGCGCCGCAAGCCTAGAAGGGCCCTGTGCTACAGCTGCAAAGCACTTGTGAATTGCAGTCCTCTGGGCCTGCGGGGTGAGACGTTGTTTCGGCAGCAATCCTCGAACTCCTGGACATGTTAATTTCGTCTTAGTCCGATCCGCCACTTCCCGTTCCGCCTTCCGGGCCAAATGCCTGTAAGTAACCCGAGAAGCCTCCGAACACCTGATGGTTTAGACGCCCCTGCTAGTCCTTGAAGCCGGGGGAAAAGATTCTCGCTGCGCTCCAACAAGTCCGACCAATCGACGTGCGAATCTCCAATCTCGCACTCCTTCGCTGGCAGCTCGCAAGACAAGGCGGGCGCCGTGCCGAACTGCAAACTACGAACCTGATGCGTGCTAGCTGCTAGGCCTATGGGCGCAAGGACGCGAGGCCCACCGTGCCAATCTTTTCCCTGGCGTGAAGAGCAGCGAGCGCGAGGTGAAACAGCAGGCCAACTAAACAAACCTTGAGGAGAAGAGGAAGAGGAGGAATAAGAGGATAATATAAGTACAACATATCATAAGGCAAGTCTCCCCCTGGCCCTAAAACCGTCCTTTCAAACGGCGCGCTGTAAGACGAATCCCATGATGCCCTACCACTTGTCTTGCAAACCTAGCGCGGGTCTATCCCTCACTCTCGCGTGTATATCTGGAGTGCGCTCGTAGGCAGCGGGTGCGAGAGAGATGGTTTGACCCTCCCCACCTGCCGAAAATCTCAGCCCATAAACGTTGAAGACCACCTAGCCTGCTACTGATCACTTCAGGGTACGTGGTGTCGTTTCCCCGTTGCGCTCTCTCCAATCGGCTTCCTCCCCTGTTGCTCATTCCCCCTCTTGGCCGACCTCTCGCAATTATGGGGCTCACCGCTATTGGGTCGCAGAAGGGTGGAAGCCCGCTTGCCGCGTTCGTGCAACTGAAAACGATATCTAGTCGGCGCGTATCCCCCGGCGGCCCTGGTACGTTGGTAGCGTGTAGGTAACGTTCGAGGTTGCGGTCAAGTACCTGGCCCCCGCCTTCCTCGAAAACTTGCCTCCGTGCAACCATCAGTTCGCTGTGGCAGCCTTGCCGCCCTCTGGCTGTTCCGTTCGCCAAGCGTGTGTGTTGCCATGTACGTTTGGCCCGTCGAAGACGCAAGCAATCCCCAACCGACGGCGCACCGCGCATACATAATAAGAGGCGGTATTTTGAACATGTCCGTTAGCGGGCAGACCAACAACCAACCAAAAAAACATCGTTCATGATGGAGAGTGAGAGTCCGTGCATTAGCTGCAGTTGTAGCGCTGTATCGTTGACTGGGTAACGCCAGTGCCCATAGTAAATTTGCATGGGCGGTCGGTTCCAGGTTGTATAACGCATGGTACTGCCACCCACTGTTGCCATTCGCCCAGGACAGATTGAGCGATGTTTGGTGTCGGAAGCGGTTGTCCAACTGCGATATCCGCCCATGTAAGTAAGTCATTCTCCCCACCCTGTATGGGGCGCAATGTCGTCCCGCCAACTCCGCTGCGACAAGACAGCGCGGTGCAATGGCGGCTTTCACGTCCGCAGCGGCTCCCACCATATTGACATAATACAACGCTCTCTGGCCTGGAGCTGGAAACCTGGCAAGGGCGCCCGGGGGGGCGTCAACCCAACTGGCCCAATCTGCTGCATAAGACGTGTGCGCGGAGTCCTGCAAGCCCATCCCGGCAAGCCGAAGCGGTTGTCTGGATTGCGTGGCCCACGTGCTGTACAGAATGCAATGCAACGCTGTATCGTATTGCTGTTGTGTTGCTACGCCGAAGATTTCTTGGAATACGTGTTGAATTGAGTTGTCGTGGTCGTCGCAAAAAGGCTGCACGTCACACGGTCAGACCGCTCGCATTAGGTAGTTTATCCGTGGCACTGCAAATACTTGCACAAGTAACCACGATGCTTGGCGAGAGGGGAGCTTGGGTAAAAGGTTTAATGGCTTCGCCCTCTCGATGGCAATCGTGGGTCAAAAACAAGTGATATGTTCTTCAATTCCGAACGGTGTACCTAATATTTTGATGCCCCCCCTGTCTTCCGCTGGTTTGCCACATCTCCATGCTGTGGCAACGGCGCCGTCCAGATTGTCAGGTCATGGTGCTGGGGTGTTCCCCCATATCGCAAGTTCCCCAATGTTCGTGTCGATGTGGCATGCTGTCTGTAATGTTAGTTCGGTGAGTTGCCGTGCGTATTGAATTCGTCCGCGTCACGCGCCAAACATGTCATCAAGGTGTGGCGCAATCCCACCAGCCCTCTGGGCGTCGGTCGTTTTGGGCGTTTCCTCTTCCGCCCCTCCTTCTTCCCCGTCGGGGAGGGGCTTGCCCCCCCCCCTCCCCCCTCCCCTGGACCTGGGCGGGGGGTTCCGCGAGTCGTCGGGGCGCCCGAAACGGCGTCGGCGAGGAAGCCGACATCATTTGTTTTAGTAAGGTTATGGCCCCCTTGTGGCCTCTTGGGTGGGGGGGCGCTAATTAATGCCCCCCTCATGTTTGATCGATCGCCTCCAAGATGGCCCCAAGAAGTGCCCAGGAGGCGCCAATCAATCCCAAGATGGCCCCAAGATGGCCCCGCGGGCCCCCCGTGGGGCCCCCCGAAGGATCCCAAGCGGCCCCAAAAGGCACCCCCGAAGCACCCAAGACGCCGAATAACTCCCCCACGACCGCCAAGCGACCCCCAAGACGCCCCAAGACGCCCGAGAGATACCCCAAGAGACTCCGAGAAGCATCCAAGAGACCTCTGGCCCTTTTGCTTGCTCTCCTCCTCTTCCTCCCCCTATCCCTTCTGATCCTCCTCCTCTTTTTTTGCCGTCTGCGGCGCCTCGAACGATGCTGCAGGCTGGAGGCTGAGACTGCAGCGGCAGGATAAAATTACTGGAACAAGGTTTTGACCAGGTCCAAATCAAGAGTCGCACCCGCTTTGTCGGGGTGCTTCCCCTGCCTGATTTTGTTCCAGTTGCGATTGCCTGTGGTGGTCGGCGGTTTGCAGGCTTTGCCGAAGTTGCGCACCTGAGCTCCCGACGAGTACGACCGACACTTGAGGCAAAATAATATGTGCGAATTATCGCTGGCCTCCAGCGCGATGACACGGTGCTGGGGCCGATCCAAAACTACGCTGTCAAGTCTGCTGTGGCCTCTGCGCGACCCAGCGACAGGGACAGAGTGAGTAGATCCCTTCAAACAAACTCTGCAACGCCAGAAGCCCGACATATGAGCCCACTGATGGGGATCCCTCGAAGCAGCAGGAGGAGCAGGAGGGGGGGGAACGCGGACCAACCCGCGGAACTCCACACGAGGAAACAAGGGAAGGCCGGCAGCAGCGAGATCCATGACGCAACGAGCGATCTCGATCTTCAAGTCAACCGCTTCCAAGTCTCCTTCACACAACTGAGGGTGCCAATTCACAGCACGCTTTGCCCCCGCATCTGCGCAGAATTTACCCTGTCGGATGAAGCGCTCGTGAGCGCTGATCCCCGACTCGTCCAAGTCCTGGTGAGCATCTACCATGCAGAGGCTGGAAATCGGAGAGCCCGCTCCCGACGCTCCGTGGATGAGCAGCCCAGAGTACAGGAACTTGGGCGACAGAAACCTACCTGGGTCCTGGAACAGGTCAACCACATTCTTACAGTCGCTGTAGCAAACCGCGCTCGACTCCAGGGAAAAAATAGGCCTCCAAATGCCCCGGGCGCACCGGCCTGGGGAGTTTGGGGGCGCGGGGCCCAGACTGGGGCAGTGATCTCACACAAAGGGTTGGCTTTATCATCCGTCATGGCCAGGCACCAACCCGAACGGGAAAGCTCAACAACAGGGTGTTTAAAACAACTGCCGTCCAAGAAAACATGTCCCCAGAGACCGAGGTCAGGATGAGTCTCCACAGGGCCTGGAGATCCTGGGGGCTCAGCTTCGGGGGCCGCCCATTCGACGTGTGCAACTCCGTCAGACGCAGGCCTGGGAAGCTCATCTCCTGGGTGCTTGAAGGCTCCATGGACGAACAAGGGGTACTCGTAGTCTTCGGACTCAACGTCCAATGCCAGCGCAAGGATGTCAGCTGGCACAATGGATTCGCGCTCAGCAGCACAAGCAGAACACTGCCAAAGCCTATGCCAGAGCGTGTCGTCGCGCTGACCGCGCAGACCACAGACCGAGGGGGCGTCGTGCCCAGCCTTCCTGGCGGCCACTCCCGTCCAGATGGCGTTGCTGGCTATGGCCCTCATGGTGGACTTATCCTTGTAAGAGACCTTGCTGGACCTAAGCTTAGCGCGCACAATGCGCCAGCAAAGGCGGCGGGGAACCCCGAACTTCGGCCCCGGGTCCCCTTCCAAACCCCTAAAGGCGGCCGCCTTGGCCAGCTGGCCGACCAAC